TTTGAATTTATCAGTGAGAGAATAAAAATCCTCGTCTCAATCATGTTTAATATCTAAGCAATAATATCTTCAATAAAAGGACTGAATAAATTCCTTGAGGAAGATTGCTGAAACTATCAGAATGGAAGTGAGGGAATTAATCAAGAGGGAAAAACTAGAGAGACAACTATGTTTGCATCTGCAAAAAAAAAAAAAAAGACCACATAAAAGAGTGGGCACCCAGAGGGAATGTAACCAGGATTTTATTTTAACTTCAAACACTGGCTTCCTCTAGTTCTTGCAGCTTTTGGAGTACCTACGGAATACAAAGGAAATGTTTAAAACGCTTTAAGGAGAATTTGAACCTTTGCCGCAGACACAGTTATAATCTGCTAACACAAAAACACACTGGCATATGAACTCAGTAACCCTGAGACCCAGAACTTATGACCACGTTTCAGACAAATACAAGGGGGAGGGGGTTTAGGATCTGACTGAGTGAGTTTTCACCAACAAAATTTAGAACAGTTTGTGAGAAAGTAAGAGTATTTACTGCAGTGAGAACTTTCAGTTTGACAGATTGGCAGACACTTTCATTCACTGAAACTCCAGAAACAGTCCCTTACTCCCATAAGCCTTTACTGAAATACTTGGAAAATCAAAGTTTCAACTCTAGAGTGTTATTGGCTTTTTCATTTTTATGTTGCAAACCCAGGACAGGAAAGTTACCAATATATGATTCATGGGTAGAGCTATGTTGAAAACAAATATTTACAGATATATATAGTTTAAAAAACATTGAAGCTACACAATTCAATAAAAGCTTAATAATTACTAAATAAGTAAAATGGAATAAAACTGCTGTATTAAAGCCTAAAAAAAATCAGATTTAGGGCATTACATGTAACATTACATATTGTAATTACATATTTACTTCTATTTAAAATCATGTTACATTTTACAATTTAGCTGCCTTTAATTAAAAGACTTTTTTTTTTAGTTTTACAGCAAAGTAACCACGACACATCATTATAACTGAGATAGATAGATAGATAGATAGATAGATAGATAGATAGATAGATAGATAGATAGATAGATAGATAGATAGATAGATAGATAGATAGATA